TCTAAAAAGAAAAAGATTGAAGCAGTGGCCCAACTTAAGCACACCTTCCTAAATTCCTAAATCAATCATGATTTTATCTTTATTGCAATAAATTTTGCAAAAACAATTGGTTTCCAGAAACCCAAAATACAAAAAGAATTGGTAACACAAGCCTCAGTGCCATCACTTTTCTAACACCAAAGAAGCAGACCCATTCTGACCCTTGAAAAAAGAAAAGAAAAAGGAAGAAGCAGATCCAGCACCCTTGAAAAGATTGAGAGGTATTTTGTGGAACCTACAAGGCAAGATATGTAGGGCCAAGATCAATGGCTTTTTTACAAACTTTGGGGGGGTGGGGGTGGGGAAAGGATATGGTGGATCCAACCCATTTGAGTCTGTTCCTAACCACAATCATAATTGTCCTCTTATGCTTCATTTCCACCTTTCTCCCTCAATGCCACCATCACCTTCCACTTTATCCAAAACCCTTTTGATGTGAGAAAAAGATGCATCTGAACAGTATGTGGCAAAATTTTCTCCCATTTGGAGTGTTCTGCTTTATCTTCTTTTCTCAACAGGCCTCCCTCACTTTCCTGCTCTTCTGAAATCATTAGTGGTACACTTGGGAAGATCCCATGAGATTTTATTCCTCTGGGTTTTATTTTTATTTTCTATACCATATGGATGTGGTATGCTGAGGATTATTGTTTAATAGGGTTTTACAAGACTAATTCAAAGATGCATATTCTGAAAGCACCCTTTCCTTTTCCTCCCCAAGGATTTAAATGAGAGAAAGGTCATGGCAAAGGCAACTCCTTTCCCTTTCTTTACACATTTTTTTTGGCAGAGGTCATGCTCATAATGGGAAACCAACACTAAATGCATGCCCAGCTGTATGTACATATATAATATAATATATAAAGTTTATAAACTGGCCGTCCTAGCACCATTGAAAAGGTTTTGGGAAGCTTTAAACAAAACAGGACTAATTAATTAACAGAGATTAATCAATCTGAATAGGATTATGTTATATGTTTAACCCCACTGGAGTCTAAGAGGAGGAATAAAACTTTATTCTCTCTTTAGGGTCTAGCAATCATTTAAACGTCTTGGTTTATTAAAATAAATGATCATCTGGGAAACGGCTAATTGGATTAGTCCAAGAGATGGGATCGAAAGTTTAGAAGATTTCATGTGTTTGGAAAACAGAAGTTGCATCGCCAGGGTAATACGCCTGCTTAATTTATGATTATGTTGAACTAGTCGCCTAATTAGTCCCTAAACAAATAAGTTCAAGAAAAATAATGTAAAGAGTGGTATTTGTTGGAGCAGCAACTGACTGGGTTAGGCGATGTTTTTTTGACTTATTAGTCCCAAATGGAGCATACACGCTTGAGCATTCGAGACCTCATACTTAGTAAAGCTTAAATATTCTAGGTTTTTATAATTAGATTCACTCTGCCCGTTAAAAAAATGAAACAGATTTGCAACAAGTTTGTAATTCTTCGATTTCATCATTTGGATACGAATTTTAGAGCATCTTTCAATATTATAAAGATAAACAAGTTTTAATTTATTGTTTAAAAAGCGACATTTGAAGGTTGGTTAAAAAAATTTATCAGAATCTTGCTTGAAGTGTAATTAAGAAAACCCATTAGATTGAAGGGGTTGATCATACTCATCTTCTAGACTAATTAGCCGTCTCATAAATGAGGGGGGTTCGAATATTGATTATATCATTATCATCAATCTATTCCACACACTAGCTAAGATGAAGATGATGCCAAAAATGATTTTGGATCTGTTGTAGAAACGACTCTTAATCAAGTCAATGAAATCATAAGTCTTTGTTCTTTTTCCTTTTTTCCCTGAAAGGCTGCCTTAAGTTACAGCCATTCGATAGTCAAATGGAGTACGACCCACTTGAGAGATTCTTGAAGTTGAAGAAATATCAAAGAAAAAGACGCCAAAACTGATGTGGAAAAAGGTGAGATTGATGCATGACTAGCCTTGCAATCTCGATCGAGTATCTACTATATGGCATGCATTGCCTGGATAGAATCATACAAGACAGAAACTGACCCGCATGAAAATTCAGAGGCATGACATGTCTCAGAAAACTGGCCTTTCCAACATGCTAAACCCTAATCGCCTGAGGTTTTGGTAGTTTTCGCCTATTAATTTTGGACATGAAAACAATAAAAAGAAGTTAATCTAAATTGATTACTGGTTTGACTACTGGTTTTGGCTCTAAACAAGACCGAACCGAACCATACCCAACCCTAGCTATAATTATCTGAAAATTTAGATTGATTTTGGACTCTAAAAACAATTTTATGCACTCCTCAAGTGTTAAATGAGCGCAGGAGGTTTGAGAAGGGCAAAATCATCTTCTAAATTAATACTTAAATATTTTTCTAATTCAAAATTAGTACATAATCTAATGAAAGGAGTACCCAGGAACAGATGTGGCACATCACACATCCATCCTTATCTTCTCTTGCAGAACCCGTGACCCTGAATCATTTTCTATACTTTTTTTTTTCTCCAATTTTATACGTATGCATAATTTATCAGGAAACTACCCTGCATATTCTTCTTTGTTTCCTCCTTGGCGCACAGTTGTTTCCAGACAAGAATCTGAGAATCCAAGCCAAACGTATAAAATTTGATTTCTCACAAATATAGGAAAGAAACCAAGTTGTTAATTGCTAAGAAGATTTAGACGGACAATGATATTGAATTTACATATATATTAAAACGGTAACAAAGTCTTTATTTATTATTATTTTTAATACAATTGATATTAAAAGAATGGAATTTGAACACAAAACCTCGAATACAGAGATAATGCTCACTCGTGTTTCAAGTTCCTTCTAACGGTAACAAAGCCTTGATGATTAGAACATAAAATCAATAAAGTCATATTCATTCATAGTTTTCATATGGGTGCATATGCAGAAAAGCATTCTCATGGCCATATGGCATCATTGAATTTTTTTTGGCTTTCTGAACCAGTCCTTAAAATGAGGGAAAAGCAGCAAGCAACAAATCAATTGGTACTAGAAAGAAACTGAGAGGTGAACAACCAAGCCAGAAAAAGAAAAAAAAAACGATTTCCCTTGACTTCTTTTAAGGTTCACACTCTATGATCATCTACATGCTTGTTTGTGCCAATAGGCTACATGACACAATTCATCATCACACCCAGCACATCATTCAGAACACCACACCCCCTCCCCTCTCCCACCTCTCTCCAAATGATCATTTGCTTGTGCATTTTGTAGGGTCTTTTTAAAAATAAAAAAAAAGATGGGGTCAACTTTAAAATGTACTGGGAAAAACCTTTATAATTATGAATTCAGATGCCATAACATTTTTTTCTTTCATGATTTCTTCATGAATGCCCTAAAGAAACAAAATTATAATATATGGGTCCAGTTTGATGGTGTCATTATTTCACAATGTTTTAAATCATTTAAGGAGTAGGAAGTAGGGGTTGGTGGTCATCATGAATGAAGGGAAACTGTAGATACCCTCCCTCCCTCCCTCCTTCCCTCCCTCTCCCTCCCTCCCTCCTTCTCTAGATGCTACAATTTCTGTTTTTGGGTCTGCTCTAGATGCCATGCTAGTATCAAAGGCTAATTAACAAAGATATGTCAGTTTTTTGGTAATTACAGTTACAAATTAGACCCAGAATTCTATATAACAAAAGTTGAAAAAAAATAGTTGTTTTTAGAATGAAAGCAACTTCACTGTTGTAGCTGGTAGACAGTTACCTAACCATTTGGACCAGATTCTGTAATCTAATAGTTCAAAGATTCTTCTCAGTTATCAGAAAATTAAAATAACAAAGGAAGGAAATCGTAACAATGATAAAATTTACACCAGCATTGTGATGTTGCAGTTGCAGAAAAGGACCACAGTACATGCAACACTTACTGATTTGAAGTCTTTCGTTTTATTAAGACACGAGGAGTCGAATTTAAAACCTTTTTCAACATTAAGCTTTAAGTTCGTACCCACTAAACCAAGAGCGAGATTCTCATTCCTTTAGGATTAAGATACTGTGACTGAATGAAATGTACGTTATGGTTAAAGTTTGTAACGGATGCTAAAGCAGTAGTAGAAGCCACAATTTTGCCTTGGGAAAAAGTGATGAAAAGTCTCCGCCTATAGCGTCTATATGCTTCAGCCTCGTGACCCCTTTGGCAGGCAATGCATTATGCATGGTCCAACGCGATGAGGGCACATAATTTGTCAAACTCTTTGAATGGGACGTCTATCTTCCCCATAACTATGACCTTTAGCTCTCAAAGGACATCTTTTTTTGACTCTGTTTTCCTATCTTCAAATTGCTTAAACAAAAAGGCCAATTTGGTATCTTCTGTTGAGCCCAGCATGAGCAAATGGGTTATTTGTGTACGCCTGATCCTTTTTAAATGGACGGGCCTGTGCATTTAGGCTCACCACACACGTGTCCAATTTGATGCATGGGCTTCAGATAAAAAAAAGAAAAAAGAGGTGGGTTGAATTTGTTTCAACCATGTGAATGGACAAAGCATAAAAGTGAATTAGGCTAGTTGGTCAGAGCAGTAAGTTTATGTTTTGGAATCTAAGCTTGCGTCATTCTTCTCGTATATTATATTAGATTAATTTAGAGTAGTTCATAATATCTTTTGTATAAAAAAAGACGAATTCATCAAAAAAAAAAAAAAAAAAAAAAAAAAAAAAAAAAAAAAAAAGGGGAAATGTTTTGCAAGATTTTGGTTAGAAGGTGAGTGGATTAAAACTCCAGCATATCAGTGCCTGCAAAAATGGGCCATTTTGGCAGCAATAGTTCAAAACATGACGCAGATGTTTCCCTGTTTCAATTCCCACCTGTTTATAAAGTTATAACGTGCAAGGTATGAGTATATGAAACCGTGTATGATCTAACACCAATTCCTTAAAAGTGAAGCCTAATATCTCATCCAATACAGACTTTCATGTGTTGAAGGAAAAACTAAAAAGCAAAGCCTAAAACCAAAGACGTGTGTGGGTCTCCACTTCTAAATTTAGAAATAATAATAATAAAAGTAAAGAACACCTCTTATGAAGCCTCTTGCCTTTAAGCAATACACTTGGCGTTTCAGCAACAAACAACAAAAACCTTGTAAGCCCCAAACTTCTTGAACCTGATCTCATCACCCCTCCCTCTTTGTGACAACTTTAAAAACCATGGTCTATAACGGTCATGAAAGCTTGATGGGCAGTTAGCACAAAAATGAAGCCTCTTGATGGACATTTGGCTAACCCCAAAAAGCTTTCTTTCATCTACTTTGAAGCTCTACGCATGAAACCAAAAATCCCATTTGGTAGCAGCTTTGTCTCAATTTCAGTTCCAGTTTTAGGTTTCTCTTCCTTGCAAGGCATGACTAACTACTCTTCCCTCCCTTTACCTCCACTCTTTTCATTTCTATTCTCTATCTATATAACATTGTTCCTCCCAACAAAAATTCTAAAACAAACCAAGAAAAGAGACCAAAACATTAAGGGAAAAGAAGCTTCAAGCGTTTCTGGTCAATGGAGATCAAGATACAAGCTGAGGAATCCCGGCACTGGCCTGAGGATGAACAAAAACTTCCCCTCTTGCAAGATATGCCAAAGTCCATAACAGAGGAGGAAAGAACCTTGATACAGAAAGCCATTCGCCAGACGTTTCAAAGCACAGCTCATTTGGCCAATCTTTTACCAACCGGAACAGTTCTTGCATTTCAGCTTCTAGCACCCATATTTTCAAACCAAGGCAACTGTGACTCAGTCAGCCGGTCCATGACTGCTGGTCTTGTAGCCCTCTGTGGAGCTTCATGTTTTCTACTGAGCTTCACTGACAGCTATAGAGACAAGAATGGAAATGTCTGTTATGGCTTTGCTACATTCCGAGGCTTATGGATCATCGATGGGTCAACCACCCTTTCACCCGAAGTTGATGCAAATTTCCAACTGCGGTTTATAGATTTCCTCCATGCCTTTATGTCAATACTTGTATTTGCAGCTGTTGCACTATTTGATCAGAATGTAGTGAATTGCTTCTATCCAACCCCGTCGGATAAGGCTCAGGAGATTCTCACAGCATTGCCAGTTGGCATTGGTGTCATTTGCAGTATGTTGTTTGTTGTGTTTCCAACCAAGCGCCACGGAATTGGCTTCCCCCTGTCTGTAAATTAACAACTCCTCTTTTGTTAATTAAGAAATATTTGCCTGCGTGCTCATTAAAATTGTGTACTGCACACAACGTTATTTATTCATTCTTCCATGTCAGCTTCCTCCAAGCTCTGTCAATGTCAGTTACATTACTTCTCTTTGTTTGTAAATCCTAGTTCCACCTTTAAAGAAATAGCTTTTAAAAACCTCGATTCTTGACAGGATAATTATGAAGATTGTATCTGGTACTGATTTAACAAATGCTTGTCATACCCATTTCTCTTATATGCCAAAGAGTGTAGTACATGAGTGAGGTATGTGAATAACAGGAAGACCAATTCACGTCAAGATTGTCAACCAAATATATTTCATGGTTAATATACAGAAAAACCATTTCCAGCGCTACAGTTACCAACGTTTATGGTTAAATCCACTATGGACAGTTACCAACGACATTATACTAAGCAAGTGCTTTATAAATCATGTGCCATGTAAGTAGTCGTATTTTGGGCCATTAACTTATAATTTCATAAAAAAAAAAGAAAAGGCAATGTGGTGAACAAACTTTCATGACCAGAAAGAAAATAAATGAAACGTGTATAAGAGCACTTACTAGCTCAAAACTTTCAGATTTATGTTTCAGGCTCAACTATTTCGCTCATCAGCTCAGCCTGCAACAACTCAGCAGGTTCACGCACCTTCCTGCGATTCCAAAACCCATCCACCATGGAACTCCATATTCCCTCATCCGGAACACATCCATCAAGCACCATCTCATCAACAATTCGATAAGCTTTGTGCAGGTCCCCTTTTTTACAGATACCCTTCACTAGAGTATCAAATGTCTTCATGTATATGGAGATACCCCTGGAACGCATGCTAAGATACAGCTGACAAGCTCGATTTGGATTGCCGCTACTACACAAGCCCTGGACCACTGCATTATGAATCCTTACATGAAGGCTCCAAGTTAGTCTGTTAGGTGAAACTCCTCCAAGGACCATCTCATCAAGAAAGTTTGCAGCTTCCTGGAACTTGCAAATGTTGCAAAGGCCACTAATTACTTTCCCATACAGCCCTGCATCTGGTTTCAAGCCTTGAAGCTTCATCCTGTCTAGAATCTCCAAAGCTTCTTGAAGCTTTCCTTCTTCACAGAGTCCATGAAGCAAAGTACTATAAGTGATATTGTTTGGCCTATGGCGCTTACAAACCATTAAGTCTAATAGTTCCATTGCTTGTGAAGAACGCCCACCCTTGCAAAATCCATCCATCAAAGAGCTGTAAGTAAAGACATTTGGAGTAATACCTTTGGTTTTCATGTGTTCAAACAATCCCACAGCTTCATCCAAATTGTTGGATTGGCATAAGCCGTGTATCAAGGAAGAATACGTAACAACAGAGGGCAAACAACCTTTTGTTTCCATTTCATTGAAGAGCTCTTTTGCTTCACCAATCTTTCCTAACTTACACAATCCATTAATCAAAGTACCATATGTATATGAATCTGGGGTGCACCCATGATTGGGCATCTCACGAAATATTCGAAGAGCTGCATCCATGGAACTACTGTTCTTACAAAGGGCTTTGATCAAAATATTAAGCGACACAACGCTAGCTGGAATGCCCGTTTCTCTCATATACTTGTAGAACCTGAAAGCAATCTTTAACTGGTTTTCTTCAACAAGAATGCCAAGTATGGTAATGTAAGATTTCTGGGTTGGTCTGCACTGGAAGTCCTCCATTTTGTGGAAGACCCTGACAGCATCCAGTGGCCTGTGAACACGGCCATATCCTCTGCAAACAGAGAGGAATATATCTTCTGTAACACAACATTTCTCCTCCTTCATCTTATCAAGTAACGCCTCGGCTGACCTGAACTGGTTCGCGGAGACTAATCTGGCGACCATGAGACCAAAGGTGGTGTGATCATGCCGGAAGCCATTGGTGTACTCGGCTGTTGCGGAATCAAATATGAGAATAGCTTTCTGTATGTCCTTTTCAGCTTTTATCAGCTGCTCAACTTGGGAAGTCGTGATTTGCTTCGACCATTTAAACAAAGTTTTGCTGCCCATTGTATTGGCAGCACTCTTTCTCAATAAGACAATATCATTCACTCCCAATTATGTTTCAGTTTTGCACACTAAAAGCTTTGCCTGCAAATCTCTGAATCAATTTCTACATTTCTACAAACATAAGAGAAAAATGAGACAAGGACCAGATAAAAGAACTACCCACGAACAACATGAATCGATTAGCAGTAAAATTCAAGCTAAGAAGCCACCTAGTCTAAACTCTGTGGCGCATTTCATCAAACAGATGTCGTCCCGTGACACCAGTCTTAGGCGATAACTCTAAATCACACAAGAATTTTGAGGGGAAAGTACAAATTTAATTGTAACAGAAGTAGCAGCAACCTTACCTGCGGACTGATTGTCATGAAATTATTTTTCTCTTTCAGACTCATCGCATTTTCCCGACGTCTTGGACGGTCCCTGAATGGTAATGCTCAGCAGCAGAGGCTTTAGACGTCCTAGGGCGCGAACACTCAACGACATTGGCAATTTGGATCAAAATGGGAACATGCAATGCAATGCTTCAATCAGGCCCGTAGACAAATGGATCGGGTCCATCGACAATTTTACGCTGTCATGGGCCCAATAAATGGCTAGTTGGAGTTTAGTTGGCAACGTTCTCAGAAAGGCTATAATGAGGACTTAAAGTGAGGAGGTTATTTGAGGTGGTCAAATCTCACCATTAACAAATGTAAAGAAATCATGGGACTTAAATATTTTAAATGTTTTGACGGTAGGATCGGTCTCCTCAAATAACCTCCTCACTTTAACTCCTCATTGTAGAAGCTCCCCAATGTCCTTCGATATTGGGGTTTCAATTGCACCAAGAAAACCAACTTGTTATAAAAGATGCATAAAACAATAATTTTGATCTATACATCCAACATTTTATTAGTTGTATCCTCATAATCATTAACTTTGAACTCTTTTAGTTTCCTGCACTATTTTAATTTGTTTCTTATTTTGAAAAACAATAGATGATTTCGATAGACAACCGAACACATTACCAATTAGTTCAAGTATTTCATCTTCCGTACTCTCAATAACCGGAATAGTATTTACTTAAGCCAAGTTAACTATTATCTTTGGTAGCTAATTAACTCCTAATGTAATGATATTCTTCTTTCGGTTCCAAATTTGAATCTCCCTCTTCACTTAGAAAACGAAATTAATTTAGTTAGTTATATTTTATTTAGTAGACTAGTAGTTGGGTTGGGACGGACTGCAGAAATAATTTTTTTACAGAGGCAAACAGTTGCCTTCTCGTGAGAACAGTGAATAAAAGCAAACACCCACCGTACAACAAACAACATCACGGACAGATTTAACAGTTCATCACATATAAGAAAAGGAAAAAAAGGCCTTTAAGAAAACAAAATCGATAAGAGGCTTCAAAACAATACCAATCTTCGTTGCTCGTGAGCCTTACGCTGGGGATAAGATGTCCCCACCCCCCTCCACAGTCATATCAACTTCTTCCCCTATCTCCCTCACTCACTCTCCTCCATAAACATATCCCGTCCCGACCATAACCTCCCATACTCCCTCCCTCACCTCACCGTATCCCGCCATCATCGACCTCTCCACACCCTCCGATTCACCATTTCAAGTTCTTCGTCTAATCTCACTGGTGGATGCATTTTATTTAACCTGTCCCGCGTCGTAACAGATTATATCCCAGACGAACAAAAACAAAAGCAATTAACCGCCCTCGAACACCCACTCCAAAACGGTGCGCATCATCTCTGTCTCTGCTGTGCTGTGTGTCTACTCTGAATCACCAATAAGAGCTCACTGCAGCTTCCCAAACCACATTCTCCACTCTGTCTCTGTCTCTGTCTCTGTCTCTCTCTCTCTCTCTCTCTCAGAGTTTACTCTCATTCCCCCAGCAATCATGGAGTCGCGAGTGCTATCACGCGCCACCACATTCGGAGCCCTCCCCTGCCACCGCAAACCATCTCCCAGGGAAAACGCCGCCGTTTCGTTCGTCTCGGCTCGGCTGATCGGCGCCGTGAGCGAGGGCGGGAACCTCATATGGGGGAGGCAACTCCGCCCCGCGCTGCTGCTCGAGGCCTCGCCGTTGAAGAGGGAGATTCTCCGGCCTTGCCTCGCCGCCGCTTCCTCTCCGACCGAGGGAAACGATTCCGCCGGGTGAGGTCCGTTTCCTCCGTTCCGACTCGGTCTGACTCGCCCGTGTCGGCCTCCGGACTAATGATTTTTTTCTTTTTGGCCTTTTCTGCCTGACTCGGTGCTCTTAACAGGGACGCGAAGGTCGCGCCGCTCGGGTTCTTCGACAGGTACCCGGCTATCCTCACCGGCTTCTTCTTCTTCATGTGGTACGTTTTTTTATAAACTTTTCAGGCTTTTTTTGTGTGGAGAAATATCTTGTATGTGAAATTACGGAGTCGTCCTTGGCGCACAGGTATTTTCTGAATGTGATTTTCAACATCATGAACAAGAAGATCTACAATTACTTCCCGTATCCCTAGTAAGTGTGCCATTTTCAATTTTCGTTACCTATAATTCTTGTAAACAAATAAATAAAAATGCGTAGGATAGCATATGTGTTCATGTTCAGGCGTAATTTAGCTGGTTCTAGCCATTTGAATTCGGTATGTGTCCTGAACTTCTGATGAAATGGGTTTGCGGTTTTTTTTTGGGTCGAATAAGTGGGTTTGCGGTTTGTGTGCAGTTTTGTGTCGGTTGTGCACTTGGGCGTCGGAGTGGTGTACTGTTTGATCAGCTGGGCAGTGGGCCTTCCTAAACGCGCTGTAAGTGAACTCACTTCAGGCCCAGGCCCAGGCCCATAATGCTAATCGCAGTCTGTTCAGTTGGTTGTTTATGTGACTGACTGGTGTTTCTCGCCTCCCTGCAGCCCATAGACTCAAACCTGTTGAAGCTGCTCATCCCTGTGGCCGTGTGCCATGCACTTGGCCACGTCACCAGCAATGTCTCATTTGCAGCCGTTGCGGTCTCCTTCACACATACCATCAAAGGTGAGAGGACAAATCTTATGCTCTCATATGTTTGGTACAATGACCAAAATTGTTCAAGTGCACTTTTAATTATTGCATTTTGACATTGAATTTGTTTGTTGCAGCTCTTGAGCCATTCTTCAATGCCTCTGCTTCGCAATTTATACTCGGACAATCAATCCCCTTGTCTCTATGGCTGTCCCTGGCTCCTGTTGTTCTTGGTATGCCCTTCTCTTTATGTTCATCCCGTTGTTGCAATCATACTATTGAAAAATATGGAAAATGTAAATCATGCAGATACCCAAAAACTATGAGCCATGAGAATTTATTCAGACTGTCTTTGCTCACTTAGTATTTACGTACTTTTAAAATGAAGGTGTGTCGATGGCATCGCTGACTGAGTTGTCATTCAACTGGACTGGCTTCATTAGTGCTATGATTTCAAACATCTCCTTTACCTACAGGAGTATCTATTCAAAGAAAGCCATGGTGAGTGGCTCTGGAACTTTAGCTAGCATTTTGTTTTGAATAGGACAGAACATAGGGAGCTAAAGATTGCTTCTTACTTGTATAACGTTTTATTGGTTTTGCAGACTGATATGGACAGTACCAATCTCTATGCCTATATTTCGATCATTGCTCTTCTTGTCTGCATTCCACCGGCTCTCATCGTGAGTAAAACTTACACTTGAGAACCCTTGAAGTTTGATTGTGCAACTGAAACAAAAATTGTGATGAATTTTGGTTCAATGTCCTCTCTCATATCATAGGTAGAGGGGCCTCAACTGATTAAGTACGGCTTCAATGATGCAATTGCTAAAGTAGGTCTTGTCAAGTTCGTTTCTGATCTCTTCTGGGTGGGATTGTTCTACCATCTCTATAATCAGGTACATTTGTTTTCTTTACTTTCTATTGTAACTTATGGTTCTATGGCTTTGTAATAGTAGGAGGATAATCCTCTCAAAATAACTCAAATGTTGCCCAAGTTAATGATCAGTATCCTGTTATGAAATCATAAGAATGGTTATTGTTTTTTTTTTTAAATTATCAGTTGGCCACCAATACCCTGGAGAGAGTGGCACCTCTTACACATGCAGTTGGAAATGTGCTGAAACGTGTATTTGTGATTGGCTTTTCCATCTTGGTCTTTGGTAAGGCTCTTCTTTTCTTCAGCTTGGTTCTGCTTTTGCTTCTTCAACTTCCTTTTTTCTTTTGCATAACTAATTGCTACTTGCTGCTCACAGGCAACAAGATTTCAACACAAACTGGTATCGGGACAGCCATTGCGATTGCAGGAGTGGCAATCTACTCTTACATCAAGGCCAAAATAGAAGAAGAGAAACGAGTAAGTCAGATATAGCTAAATTTAGCTCATGCATGTGGCAGTTAGTCCCTTGCATCCAATTCCATTAAAAAAATTTATCTGTCTAATATTATTGCTCTTCTGACCCATTTTTTGGTTCGTAAAACCCAGCAAGGGAAAGCTGCATGAGAAGAAGGGAAGAATGGACATGGAGGGAACCTTGCATTGTAAATTTCATAAATTCCCTTCAGAAGAAATGGCAAATTGAGTATCTATCTATTATCCATGTTATAGTTTATTTCTTCCCACGTTTTTTTTTTCTCCGATTGATTGAGAGCACAAAGACATTCTAATTTGCAATGGTCTCATGTTGACTGGAAATTCAATAATGTATCAATTTTTATCTTTCTCACAATGAGCTCTTCCTATGGATGGAAGCCTAAAAGTGGTCAACAGAATGGAGATTTTATATGTGAGCGAATAGATTGCTATCTGTATCTAGAGACATGCATGAACTGCCAATTTACATGTTTTGCGTAGGTCTTCATTCATTCAAAAGTAACGTAATGCATTAGAGGAAAGGATAGGAAATATACACATGATATTTAAGACGAAGAATTCATTTCTTTGTTCAAGTTCATTCTCACTCCCACTCTCATATCTGCTCATAAATGTTTTTATTAGAATCGCGTCGAGCTTGAGAAAGTGGCTCAAAGATATTCTACTTTCATGTGACCAAATTGAGAGGGCAAAAACTCACTCTAGACCCAAAAACTCTTGCCTTAGGAATGGAGAATATTGAGGTTTAGCCACCCAACGGCAAGGGGGTAAAGGATAAGGACCTTACCAGCTCTACGTACTCTGTATCTCTCAAGTCCTTAAAAAGATGGGTTAGAGATTCAAGTGGACTACTATAGCTAGAGCAAGATGTATGATATCCTCTGCTGATGTCTTTTAGCCATTTGCTCACTGGTGAGAAGCTTGCCACGGGCTCAGACGCCAAGACCCCCAAAGGAACATCTTGATCTTGTTCGCATATTTCAAATCAGGCGGCTAAGTCTCTGCTGGCATTCAATGATCATTGATTAATTGGTGTCGGTAGTTTGTTGAACTCTTTCAGTATGGAAGTTGTGAAATTTGGAAAATTAATTAATTTTATTAACAATAAAGACTTGTAGTTTTTTTTTCTTCCAAGATTTAGAAAAATAATCGCTTGAGTTGTACTCGAGCATTCTGGGACTCTCGAGCATTACTCGAACTCTTCTCAAGCAATGCTCGAACATTCAGAAACGGTTAAAATCATAACAACATGTTTACTTACCAAGAATGAAAAAGCCAGAAAACATAAAAGGCGAAAATATAACATGCCTAAAATTTGTTGTGGATTGACCTCTTTTGGTGGTTAATACATGCCCTGCTCAGAAAGCCCAGCCCAATGATGTCCAAAGCGGACAGCGGGGCCCGCAACAACACAAACCAGAAAGACATGCTCGATGATCGCAGCCGAAGATCGCATCCAAAGATCACAAAGAACCCAAATTAACAACCAGACAGAAGCCTTCGAAATCAAACACACGCACACTTGCAATAACATTAGAGTCATCAATAAAAAAAACATAAAATAAAATTACAAAAAAAGAAAGAAAAAACTCGTACAACCTTGAAAATTGAAAAGTCAATCGAATTAAAAACAAACACGAAGAGAGAGTTTTCGGCATCCGCTCGCTGGAACACAAAATAAAAAGAAGAAAAACAAAAACAAAAGAAATTCATTTTTGTTGGTTGGATCTTGGGTTCGTGTTTTTAGCCAGCCCAACCGCGCAACATTAAAACTGAGAAGAGGGCCTCGTATCGTTTGACGCAACGAAGTATGAAAGTACCCATCGAATTAAGGAAAAAAAAAAAGGGCAACAAAAACAAAACAAAGACCGAAAGAAAAGAAAATAGAAATAGAAAAGTGAAAAACAAAAAAAATAAGAAAATTATGGAAGGTGGAATTAGAGTGAGGAAAGACTGTTGGTTTTATGTTCCTGATTTTGCCTTTTCCTATTTTTTGATATTATTGTTGTTATTGATGTTGTTGTTGTCATATTTTCATGTCAATCCCCGAAATTCACATTTATTTTATTCATGTTATTCTCATTATTCCATCATGATAATTCTACGCCTCTCTCTTTCTTGATCTTTTCCTTGACTGTTACGGTATTTGTTTAAAGAAAGGAGAAGAGAGAGGATATAGAGATAGAGAGAGAGAAAAGGAGAAATCAGATTCTTCGTTGTTTGTTTGTTTGCTTTCGGAAGACCCAGTTTTTGTTTTGTTTTTCTCTCCATGAGGATTTGGGAATTCTAGGGTTTCGAGGTTTCGAGGTTTGGGGCCTTGAAGGCTTGAAGGAAGAAGCTTTGTTCTGCCCAGATCTTGATCTTGCTTCAATGGAGGGTGCTTCCGAAGGAGAAAATCCGACTAAAAATCATGAAAATAACAACAGTAATGGTAAATTTAATAATTCCAGTGAGGGACAGAGCAAGCCCAAGCGCCAGATGAAGACCCCCTTTCAGCTTGAAACCCTCGAGAAAGCTTATGCCTGTAAGTTCAATCTCGATTTTTTTCTATTTTTTGTTTTAAATTTATAGTTACTGTCTGTGAAAATTGAAGCTTCTTTTATTTTTTTTGGGTTTTTGATCAGTGGAGACCTACCCGTCGGAGGCGATAAGGGCGGAGCTCTCGGAAAAATTAGGGCTTACTGATCGGCAGTTGCAGATGTGGTTCTGCCACAGAAGATTGAAGGACAAAAAGGAAGGGGGTCCAGCAAAGAAACAGCGGAAATCGGTGCCCACTTTGCCCGAGCCTCCTATTGATGATTTGGCTCACGGGTCTGAGCCAGGTAGTGATTACGGGTCGGGTTCAGGCTCCGGCTCAAGCCCGTTTGGGCATGCGGAGTTGCGGAATGTGGTTTCCAGGAGTGGGGCTGACGACGTGCCAATGAGGAGGAGGTATTACGAGTCACCCCAGTCCATATTGGAGCTTAGAGCCATTGCTTGTGTGGAAGCTCAATTGGGAGAGCCATTGAGGGAAGATGGGCCAGTTCTCGGCGTAGAGTTCGATCGGTTGCCGCCAGATGCGTTCGGAGCACCTATAGGTATAGCTGTTGGGTTGCCTTAATTGATTATAAAGCTCAGTTCAGCAATGCCTTGTACTTGACTTATATGGGATTTCGTTGCAGCATTATGCAGAGAATTTTGTGCTTGTAGTTGTCTAGTGAGTTTATGATGGTCTGTTTTTGTCGGAGTATATTTGTATTTTGCATTCCCATCTCTAAGATAAACAGAAATTATTTTCATGACTTTTCTTTTTGCCATGTTTAAATGTATCAATAAGTTTGTTTATTTTATGGCAGTCATGGGCTTTACAAGTTTCCAGATGCATTTGGATCACACTTGCTACTTGGTTCACCAATTTTCTTAATAATTAAGTTTAATAGTTAGTTTCTAGTGTAGTTTAACATTCACATTTGCTTTGAGGCTTTATGCACTGTGGTGATTATGTTAAGAAGTTTGAGTTCCAATTTTTTTCATCTTGTGGTGGTGGGGGTGGTCTAAAAGTATGGACTATTTCCTAAAATTATTGCATTGGAATCAGAAAAGTTGCGAAAACATATGATTTATTGCTCAATAAAGGCCACATTATTACCCTAGCATTTATTGCCTATTGTTTGACTGATTCTTGTATGCAATCGGTTTGCTGCTAACCCTTTTGATTCTGTGCTTGGTGAAGCAGTTGCAGAGCAGCAGAAGCGGGCTGCCCATGCCTTGGAGGGCAAATATGAGCGGCATGATGCAAAACCAAATAAAGTCTGTCTCTTTTTCTTTGATAAAAGTTATTACTTTATATGTACCATATGATGGCATGTGCAATGATATGCTGGTGAATCATTAAGTGATATACATGTATTGCTCTTTTTTTATTAGTATGATACATCCTTTATAACTTATGTGGCTATATCCATATTAAGCGTCCATTTGCTCTCTCATTTTCCAAGTTCTGGGTATTAGATTTTCTTTTAGCGAATAAATATACCACTACTTTGTTCTCCTGCTTGCCAGTGTACCATAACCTTCTGTTAAGAAACTCTGATAAACGCATACTCTTTTCAAATGATGTGTTGTTTAGAAATAGAAAGTGAATGTATTTGTATCAAATAACCATAACACAATTGCATCACCACTTGTAATTCTGAATCTTGTTTCTTTCTGTTGCATGTCTCGATAGGTTCCCTGGTTCTATATTGACTTAGATATCCTTAGAAGCAGCCTTGACTTTGACTAGGTATTCTGGAAACTGAGCTAGTACTTGCTCATTCCTGCATTACTTTCCATTGATGTCTGCTGCTTTTGTGCCTAATATATTGATGATATTACTTCATGGTGGTGTCACTTAACCTAAGAAAAGGAAAAAATATATTATTTTATGGGGAGTTGGACAAACATAAGGGTATTCGATGTTATTTTTGTTTTTCAGTCCGAGTATTGCGAGATGACTGCAGCAATATCTAGATTTGTCCATCTAGTTTTTGTAACTCTACTTTGATTGAACTGGCTTCAAGCAGTCCGAGACAAAACAACTCATTGCCCTTTACCTCCATGTAGGGGGAACTGATGCATTTAAATTGATATTGTACTGTTGACACTCATATCTTTTTCTGATGCATGCATTTTGGGTTTTAGTGTACTTGTGCATCTGATTTTTTCGTGGTTGACATATTGAATTAGTATGTGTTTCATCTCAGGCAACTCCAAGGGCTCTCCATGAATATCCATTTCTTCAAGATCACTCCAGTATACGGTCTGATGCATATGGACAAGCCGCACAATCTCATTTTCAAGATTCACCAATTGATGGTCCTAGTGCCAGAGCTTCATCATTTGCAGTTGGAAATGAGCCTTTGTCAAGGGTTCATGGTGTCCATGGTCATGGTCATGTGTCGCGTGTTCGTCTTCTGTCTCAGCAGGAGAGGCAAGCAGTGGCCTTTCCATCTCCTGGTGATGATGGCTGTGTGCCACAAAGGGACTCCTTTACTAATGTTAGAGTAAATACTCAGTTTAGTGATCCTCCTACTGTTGCACCGGAAAACTCTAATGCATTGTCTGATGGTCAAATTAATGACTCTATGCTGAGAATGGAGAGGAAACGCAAGGTATACTTGTGCGGTTCAATTTTATTCGAAAACTATTTTTTCTCAATCAAGGATTATTTTAATAGTTCTCCCTTGTAGAGTGAAGAAGCTAGAATCGCTAAAGAAGTTGAAGCTCATGAGATTCGGATCCGGAAGGAGCTGGAGAAACAGGATATTCTGAGGAGAAAGGTTCTATTTTTCACTCCAAAATGTTTGTTCTGAACTATAGGTTTTGTATGCTGATATTTTTCTGTTTATAGAATGAGGAACGAATGAGGAAAGAAATGGAAAGGCATGACCGTGAGAGACGAA